TCCTGGGTCCTCCTTCCTCCCTTTTTTGAAAATGGGGACCACATTGGCCCTTTTCCAGTCCTCTGACAACTTGCCAGAGCACGACAAGTGCTCATAAAGCTGTGCCAGGGGACCTGCAACGACCTCTGCCAATTCCCTCAGCACCCTGGGATGGAGATTGTCTGGACCTGCTGATTTGAACATGTCTAATCCCACCAGAAGTTCCCTGACTAGGTCCTCACTGACCCTGGGCCTGGCTGTGCCTCCCCTGGGTCTGTCTGGAATCCCAGGGGGATGGGGAATGTCCCAGTCCCTGCTAAGAAAAATGGAGGCAAAGAATTTGTTAAAGAGATTAGCTTTGTTGTCTGGTGCGACTAGCAGATTTCCAAGCGTGTCCTGCAGAGGCCCCATGTTACCCAGTGCCTTCTTTTTACTCCGTATGTATTTAAAAAAGGGCTTCTCGTTATCTTTGATCTGGGTCGCTAGTTCCAGTTCTGTCTTCGCCTTAGCCTTCCTAAAAGCCCCCCTACAATCTGGAGCAATGGAGGTATAATCCTCCTTGGTGATGGCCTCTCCCTTCCATTGGGTGTACGCCTCCTTTTTAGCTTGGAGACATTCCTGAATGCCTTTGGTGAGCCATGGGGGCTTTTGAGCACTCTTGCCCCTTTGATCCATGTTGGGATTGTCACCCTTTGGGCTTGGAGGATCGTCTCATTGAGCACTCTTGCCCTCCTGAAGTCCAGGGCTGCTGCCTTGCTGCAGGCCTTTGACACCCTGTGCTGGATGGTGAATTCCAGTAGGCGATGGTCAGTATCACCCAGATGGTCAAGAACCCGCAGCCCCTTCATTATGTTGTCGCCTGTGGCCAGGACCAGGTCCAACAAGGCATTTCCCCTGGTGGGGCTGTGCACCTCCTGGGTTAGGTGAAGGTCCTGTATTTCAGCTAGGAACCTATGTGAGCGGTCAGACCTGGCTGACTGCTCCTCCCAGCAGATATCCAGACAGTTTAGGTCACCCGTGATGACCATGACCCTCCACGAACTGACCCAAGGATTCCTGGTCCAGCTCTTCCCCCTGGTTGGGTGGTCGGTAGTAGACACCCACCGTTAAGTCTCTTTCCCCCTGACCCCTTTGTATTCTGACCCAGAGCACTTCCATGTGCCCCTCCTCTGACCAAGTGCTGTTTGTTGAGGGCGTGTATTGCTCTTTGACGTAGAGCACCATGCCCCCACTTTTCCTCCCCATTCTATCTCACCTGTACAGCCTATAGCCCTTGATGTTTACCACCCAATCATGCGTTGAATCCCACCAAGTTTCCATGAGCCCCACTATGTCTGGGTTTGTGTTAGCTAGCAGAAGGGCAAGTTCCTTCTGCTTGTTCCCCATACTACGAGCATTAGTGTAGAGGCATTTAAGGCCTCCTGAGGGTGTATGCACTGCCCCCCTAATCCCAGCACTATCCGGCCCCCTGTCTCTTACCTGGGTACTTTTTGTGCTCGTTGCCTGTCTTGGCTGGGCTGTTCTTGTGGGTGTCTCTTGGTTCGGTGTTCCATGGCTCCCTCCGTCCTCATCCTCCTCTTCCCCCGACAAACCTAATTTAAAGCCTGCCGTAGGAGATCAACCAACCTGAAAGAGAACACATGCTTACCTTTGGGGGAGAGGTGAAGCCCATCCCACCCAATCGTATTAATCTCTCTGTGTCTGAGCTAGCAGGTCTGTTACTGTGTGAATACCTGTGGTTGCCACACTTCACACCACAAATGGCTGCCTTAGAAAAAGATAATCTAATTGCTTTTATGCTTTGATTTGTAGATGATTAGTAGAGTGCTTTTAGAGCGTCTGGAAACTAAATTCAAATAGACATAAATGCAAGTTGTTGTGTTTTTTACTTATAGCATTTAATAAAGGTCAAAGTGAAATTCTGACATTCAGAATAAGCCCTAGGCCACATTTCTTCATTTGCTCTAACGGTTTATCTATAAATCAAAAGAGATCATTTGCCACCACTGAAAATGAAAAACAGATGTTGCCTTATGTTCTGTGTGTCTATTTTTTCAGTGGGAAGAGAAATATTTACAATTTATCAGGAAAAATTCATTGAACGCTCGGTGCTGCAGTGCCACCACTAAAATTTGTATTTGAGGCAGTACACTGCTTTTCCACCTTTCTTAATCTTCTTTCTCTTCTGTGTATGGAATGAAGACAATGCTTTTATTTGATTGGGCTTGTAATTTAGATCTTTGCCTAGACTGTACTTCCATAAATGCTAGGCATACTGCCCCTAGCTTCCAGAGGTGCCAGCATCTCTCTTAGTTTTATCTTTTAAACTACTTCTGTTGGACTGTAGCACTAGCCAAGATGCTATGCTTTTATGTATGGCAGGGGTGGGCAAAACATGGCCTGCCTGCCCCAGGTGTGGAGGGCAGCCTGGGCTGTAGTGTGTGCCCAGGGACAGCAAGACCAGCCACACATGGCGAAGCAGGGATGGTATGGTAGTGGGCAGGTAGTTGGTCTCCATGTAGACCAGCTCAGGGCACACATGGGCAGGAAGTACAGGGCTGAGTGCATGGGATGGGGCCATGGGTGGGCTGGGAGAAGTGTCCAGGAACAGAATAGGCAGGCAGGATTGCATGGTGGTGACATCACTGGCCAGGGCCTGGAGCAGAGCTGCAATCTGTTTCCCAAATGTCCCTGCCTGCAGAACTGGTGCCCACTGCAGGGGCATGTGGGAAAAAAATTGCAGCTCTTTCCTGGGACTCAGCCCCACACTGTCACTGCCCCATGATCCCAGCTCCATCTACCCATCCCACTGCTGGATGCCATTCCCCACCTGCCTGTGGCCCCATCATATCCACCCAGCCCTGCCTACAGATGTCTCAGGCCAGTCTCCATGTAGAACCCACCTTCCCACTCCATCCAGCACCCCCAACAGTGGGTACAGGCAGATGAGTCCAGGGCCAAATAGGATCAATTGCACCTTCCCTCCCCCCCCACTATGCTGGGTTGGGCCCACAACAGCTCACCAAAACACCTTAGGTGGCCCTGCTGCCCAAATAATTGCCCATCCCCAATGTATGGCATATAGAACAATCCTTAATCCATGTTTCCTTGCACCCATAAGCAACTGTAGGCCAACAAGGGCAGTTTTTTAATACTCTATTCACATGGAAGTCATGCTTTTTACTGTGAGGAATATTTATGAGTAGAAATAATATTTCCACACCTGATCATGGAGGAGATATTTTTTTCATTTATGAATGCTGTTATATGGTGCCCATCACTGAAGATTCGGCTTCTGAAAGTGTTGTAATTAACTTTTATCTGGGTATCCAGGGGGCTGCCATGATTGTCAAATATTTCTGACATGCTAAAAACCTGAGCTGTTCTTAATCCAAAGCCTGAATTCAAGTGTTGATACCTAAATGAGCAATGAATATAAGTAGTGAATACAGTATAACTCCATAAATCCGGCATGCTCAGGGCCAAGCATCTGCCGGAAATGTGAAAATTCCGGATTTTTGAAACTGGAGCAGCGGCTGGTCCCAGAGTTGGGGGGGGGGGAGACAGATAGCGGAGGCTGGTCCCAGAGCAGCAGCCACTCGTGGAGCAGCAGCACAGGGTGGTGGATGGTGGTGGCAGCCGCCATGTGCAAGCTTCCCCCTCCTCTGCTCTGGGACCAGCCGCTACTACTCTCTGATGGAGTATAGTTTTAAGAAGTGCCGGATTTTTGATAATTCTGACTTTTTGATATCTGGATTTATGAGGTTATACTGTATAATGAAGTATGAGTAAGAATTTAACACAATCCCTGGGTTTCCTGCTCATATGTCAGTTAATGGAAAGTAGAAGGACCTGGGATTGTTTTTATTTTGTCAGATGAGTAGTGTGGCCGGGTGGGGGTGAATAATGAAATCCCTCTCCCTGGGACTCGTCTGCCATGCTTTAGAATGATAGAAGAATAAGAAGTTAATCCCCCTGTCACAGAGCACTCAGGTGCCCTGCGTCTGAGAGCAGGAACAGCTCAGGAGAGACCCCTAGTGGCAAGAAGGGGGAGGCCCAGCTGCCAGTTACCAGCACAGCCGGAGTCACAGGTGCTGGTTGCTAGGACAGCCGCCGGGGAGCCAGCTAACAGGAAGGGGCAGGGCCTGGCCCATATAAGCCCAGGAGGGCAGTTCCTCTCTGGCAGCTGAGGGAGGAGGAGCTCAGCCAGTGCAGATAAAGGGGAGAACCCTGACTGTGTGAGCAGCCCCTGGTTGCTGCAATGGGTTGGAGTATTTTCCCGGAAGGGATTGAACGTTGTTTGGCTGGACGGTTTAGCTTTTTATGTTATAGCCCAGGGGCTTTGTGTTTTTGCATTCACTGTTTTAACTGGAGGACCAGGTGAGGCTATTAGGGGTTAGAGGGGGCCTCATAGGGGCTCCATGGTAGCGTGGGGACCCTGGCACCGGAGAGGGTGTGGTATTTTGGGGTGCATTGACCCCAGCCCCAGGGCAAGGGGGGGCAGTGAGGAGCCCCAGAGCAAGGGGGGGCAGCGAGGAGCCCCAGGGAGGTAAAGGAGAGGGCCAAATCACAGCAGGGCCCAGGTCAAAACCACGTCAGTACCATCTGCGAGGCTTGGACTGCGGTGTAGGGGAGGAAAAGAAGCCGCAGATAATGCCCCCTGGCACTGGGGCGCATAAAGTGGGCAACCTCCTGCTAATTACATCAATCAATTAATCAATTAAGATCAAGGAGTGGCAGGAAAGTAAGCAGGCGGTTGGCCCATAACAGGAGGGCGGAGTGACCGGTAGGAAGGCTCCAGTAATGATACTCCTGTCACACCCCCAAAGAGAGAGGATGTCATAAATCACCCCAGAAGCAAGATAAAAGAAAATTGATTTATCAGTAGCTTCCCCACAGGCTGTGGGGCACCCTGGCTGTTTTCACAGCTCATGGTCTCCCTTTTCTCCTCCACTGTGCAGCCCACTCCCACAAGTCAGTCAGCTCCACTCCAGTCCCACTTACTTTTCTCTTTCCTGCAGTACCAGAGGATCCTTTCTCCATGGGACCTTCTCTCAGCCAGTAAGTTTCTCCCCTTTTCCTCACCTCCTTACTTCACCAGTCACCGTGATTACCTACACCCAGTTGGCTGGTCTTATCCACAAGCTGCTCCAGCACTGGGTCCACCGCTCCTGAAGTCCCTGCTGAATCTCTCCGCGTTGTGCCCCAGGGCGCCAAGGAAAACCCCTTGCTGTGGATTTAAGTAGCTGCTGGTTCCTAATCAGTTAACATTCACCCCAGGTGCCATCCCCTTCCCAACTGTATTTGTTAAGTAATTAACTTTGCCCTGTCCCTGACCTGACTACTTGCAACTTAGTAACATCAAAGGAACAGGGCTGTCTTTGCACTGATACAAGTAGGAATCCAAAACCTTCAACAGTGCAATAATGAATAGAATAAAACTCCATAGGGAGAAGTTATCTAATCAGAATGAAGTTTACAAGTAATAAAACAACACTAATAATAAAAGGTACATTAGACTTTTAATTATATCACATTTACAAAGGTGTTGCACATTGCAGATTATAATTTCTAAAAATGCTTCTTGTATCATGATTTTTTTAAAGAATTTGATGATTGCACTTTAAATGTTGCTGTCTAATCTGCCTAGCAACAAATTACCCTCTCACACCCTCTAGTGGCTAATAAAAATAGGAAACCAGATTGTATCTTCTTGAAATATATCTCTCTTCAGAAATGTCCATTAGGCTGTATATGCCTTCTTACACTTGAGGAAGGATAGTTTATGCCTCAGACTGTCTCTGATACATCTCCCAACTACAGTTGGTTCATTAAAAGATGTCATTAAAAAAATCCTTGCTTGTGGCCTGTTCCCTGGGCCACCATAGCTACAGCAGCCCTTCAACCTGACTTCAGAAATAGATTATACAAATAATAAGGATATGGATGTATTTTAAACATTTTGTGACAAGAAAGGTATTTTTAATTTTATGTTTATAGTTTCCACAGTATAAATTATTAATAATAATACTGCTAATAGTAAAAAGGATTATTATATACATATTTAAATGAAGTGCATAGGAATATTATCTTACAGGTTTGTTTCCCTGATAGAAATAAGTGATTCCTTTGTTATAGGATAAATAATAAAATATTTAAACTTTTTAAATGGTACAAAATGCATGACAGCAAATAGCAAAATTATAAAAGCCCCAACCTCATAAAAGCTTAAATGCATGCTTCACATAGACACGTATGCATATGTACAAGTTCTGCATGCATGCATCTTCAAGATGAGATCTGAAATAAAATAGGAACTGGCTCAACTGATAGAAGTTTCAATCTGAATTTCTTTATTACCACTTTTCAAACATATTTGGAAAAATAAGAGCTCCTTTTCTTTCTCTAGTTCCATAGTTTCATAGTAGGGTCGGAAGGGAACAGAGCAGATCATCAAGTCCGACCCCCTGCCATGGCAGGGAAGAGTAGTGGGGTCAAACGACCCCAGCAAGGTGTACATCTAGCCTCCTCTTAAAGACCCCAGGGTAGGAGCCAGCACCACTTTTCTCTTGGAAGTTGGTTCCAGATCCTAGCTGCCCTGACTGTGAAGTAGCGCCTCCTGATGTCTAGTCTGAATCTACCCTCTGCCAGTTTGTGACCGTTATTTTTTGTCACTCCTGGTAGCGCTCGGGGGAACAGGGACTCCCCCAGTGCCTGCTGGTCTCCTCTGACTAGTTTGTAACAGGCCAGTAGATCTCCCCTCAGCCTTCTCTTGTGGAGGCTAAACAGGTTCAGGTCCCTGAGCCTCTCCTTGTAGGGCCTGCCCTGCTGCTCCTGATCATGCGAGTGGCCCTCCTCTGGACCCTCTCCATGTTGTCCACATCTCTCCTGAAGTGCGGCGCCCAGAACTAAACGCAGTACTCCAGCTGCGGCCTGACCAGCGGCACATAGAGGGGGAGGATCACCTCCTTGGACCTGCTTGAGATGCATCTGTGGATGCATGACAAGGTGCGGTTGGCCTTCCTTACTGCATCCCCACACTGCCGGCCCATGTTAATTTTGGCATCAATAATGACTCCAAGATCTTTTTCTGCTTCTGCGCTGACGAGAAGGGAGTTCCCCAGCCTGTAGGTATGTGCTGGTTTTTCTTCCCCAGGTGCATCACCTTGCACTTGTCAGTGTTGAAACCCATCCTGTTCTCATCCACCCACCCCTGTCTAGGTCTGATTGCAGCCTATTCCTCCCTTCAAGCGTGCCCACATCCCCCCACATCTTAGTGTCATCTGCAACACTAATGACTGTGTTTTTGGTGGGTCTTTTAGAGTTCATAAAAGCAAATCTTTTACGTACAGAAAAGCTTGTATGTATATAAAAGTGTGTTTGCTATAGGTTTAACATGTTTATCATTAAAGGACTCATCTTCACATATATTTTAAAATGACTTGAGATTATTTTCTTACTCCTGAAGTCTTGTTGTTTTTTGTGGTTTTATAGCCCATTTACCTATATTTTCATTCCTGCTGTTGCTGAAATGAAAACAGAAAGAAAATTTGACTGACAGTGCAGGGGAAACTGAAATAGCCTGTGGTTTGAAAGTCATACAGGAAAGGGAGTTCTGCCACTACCTATTAATGAATTCCAGGAAGAGACATAATAAGCTAAAGCTCTTGTTACAGGTGACACCCCCTGTGTGAGTAGAAACATTTTGGTAAACAAACATCTAAGTTTTGGCTGTAGAGACAATGAAATATTAACTTTAATGTGTGAGACTAAATGGTAACAATGCTGTGCTTAATATTCCCTGAATGGGCATTAACCATAACAAGAATTTCATCAGTATATGACTAGAAGATAGTGTATGGACATAAGCAAGACAAAGAGGTCCTTATCTTGTAGAGTAGAGTGGATCTCTGGTGGTAAATACCCTGCTATTGACCCTCTCCACAGTGTAATGGCATTGCTGAATGTATTTTGCTATGGACTTGGATCTGCATAATGCAGTGTCACTTGAGTTGGAATTACATTAGCTAGGTAGGAACCTGAAGAGCCAGATCAAACAATATAAGAGAGAACATCTACAACATTAGATAAGGTGTCCCTACACCTAATCCCAGCATCTCTATGGTTGGGGTTAGGGGCCAGCATAGTGGCCAGGGACAGCACCACAGCAAGGGATAAGGCTGCAGAAATGGTATTGCAGTTTGTGCCTCCAGCACATTATACATTGTATCATGACTAGGGGCCATAGTATCTTTTTACAGGGCTGGGGATAGACTTAACCTGTGTCCAGGGCTTCTGAACATCACTAACAAAACTGTAAGTGGAGTGTACTGGAGGGGAAAATGCAGGAAGTGAGGAGTCTGCTGAGTGTTCATCCAACTAGGTGGGAAAGGCAGCAGACGGGCAGAGCTGTACTACTACCCAGCACATCCACAGGTGGCAGATAGTGGAATGACCTTCAGGGAAGGCTAGCTGTGAAATGATCAGGGCTAACTCTGATGAATAAGCAGTTGCAGACCAAGTGGCAGCACTACTAGGATGTGGTGAAGACAGTAGATGGCAATGGTTTCCCTCCTAAAAAGCCACCTGTATCCTTTGATGGTGCTGTGACATGGCGAGTACAGGTTGCCACTATAATAAGTCTGCCCAGCCCCCAGGCATGGGTCTAGAAGTCCTCAACAGCAGAGCAGGCAGAAGAAGACGTTAGAATCTCAACAACTGCAAAGGTGGATGAAGGCTGCAGGAGAACACGATCCCCCATTGTCTTTGTCTCCTTGCCATTGGATCAAGGTCCTGTTCTGTCAAGAGCCATGTGGAAGACAATATGCAGCAGCTTCTCAACAATAAAAGTCACACACTGGTGTCTTCCATTCCAGCACAGGTGGGGAAACAAAG